AACTGGAAATAGCAAAATTCCACATGCTGAATGATTTGCTTCTCAGTCAAAGCCAGTTGCTCTTGCATCATTTGTTTATTTAAGTAAAGCACAAATCAACCATCAAGTTTCTGTTAAGCCCTGGCCAGCACACAAATCCTGATATTCAGCTAGTAACACAAGAAAGAGTCCTGCAGCTTCTTCTGGAAAAACTGTAGGTCCAATGTCAGCAAAAGAGTGAAGCATACATATCAAGGTAATGTAACTTTCTTTTAGATTTTGGTTTTTATGTTGCTTATGCAACACAGCAGCCCACGTTCTAAGTTAGGATCACTTTTTGGGGCTGTAAGAAAACAATATTTGGAAGGAAATACAATTAAATTAAGTTTAAAATGAGTAAAATGCATTTCTGCTGGCAAAGATGACAAAAAGTAATAATTGTACGATGTATTTGAAGTTTCAATACAGTCACTATGCAAGTGCAAGACAGCGTCCCATCAGGACCGGCCAGAGTTTCTCAGAGTTGAAGAGAAACACTTACTTTGACAGACGAAGAACAAGCAGTAACACACTTTCCAGGACGCAGACTTTGAAGTTTCCAACTTGTTGCAGAGGATGAATGTGAGGCAGCGGTTCTTTGTCCCTTTAGTACTCTTCCTCGCTGTTTCTCTGCTCAACCTCACAGCTGGCCGAGCGCTCCCTTCCCACTCCTCGCCACGCACATCAGCCAATCAGAAACCGCCTCAGCATCCTGGACACGCCCCCTCCGGCCCTATCACCAGGGTTACAAAAACACACTGCAGGCATTTATGTAAAGCTCCGTTTGCTGACATCTTATAGCTTTACGCAACTTTAAAGTTGCGTAACCTAAAGTAAGTATTTTGGTTTATTTATTAAGAAAGGACTTGTTATATGCTATACAATTATGTGTTACCTTCCCATAAAAAGGAGAACGTTATTTTTTACCAGATTAAGGAAGCAATCTTTGAAACCCAAAACTGACCCCAATGCTCACAGGTTAATGCTGATGCTCGGATATGGAATTTGCTGAAGCTAAGTTTGTGAGTTAAAATGTTATTGAGTAAACATTTTAGATATGAAAATAAAATCCAGTGAGATATTTTCTTTTGGGATAAATTGTAGTTTATATGGCCACAAAGGAGTACACATTTTACCCTGGAAATCAGATCATAGCACTCAAAATGGTAAAAGCCTACAAAAAATGTTTAGCAAGCCGTCCTGTTGATGTATTCTTCTTGTCTGTCCTCTTCATGAGTGGAGACATTGTGAAGCACTATATAAAAGATAAATTATTGCATATTTGAGACTAAACAATAAAATATCACAACAAATATTCAAAAGCTTATCTTTTCACAGCAAGTTTTGTTGTACAACCAATAGGAGACAACTAGTGTGTGAAGTGATTTTGAAGAAGATGAAGATTCAACTTTACTGTCATTACATAGTAGCCTAGGCCTACTAGGTACTAGTAACAAAACGGTTTCTCTGCATTTGACCCATCCTAGTGATAGGAGCAGTGGGCTGCCATTATGTACGTTGCCGGGGAGCAGTGTAGGGAACGGTGCCTTGCTCAGGGACACCTCGGTAGAACTTGGTCTTTCCGGGACTTGAACTGGTGGGAGCTGAACAAGGGAACGCCAGAGGATGTTAGCAAGCAGCCAAAGGTTGAGCAAGTCAAGCATCAAGTAGAAGAAAGTGATGGCCAGAAAGTGGAGACGGAGGAAGAAGTAACCTCCGTCTCTACTCTGCTCCGAGTGTAAATATTAAAAAGACAAATACATCTGATTGACAGAGAGCTGTGACACTGTTTACACAAAAGAAAGTTGGTAAACTTTTCAAGTAAAGGCGTGGACTGGCCGTCCATACAAGGTGTCGATGTCGGTCTTTGCAGCTTGGTGTGGAAGTTAATAGGCAGTGCACACAGCACTACACTGAATTACAGGGAAGTTATTTCATGTTTTTTCAACGTTGCACTTTGTAGACGGGTCATTCTCTCTGTATGGTGCCTTTTAGTGTCCTGTATATACATCATCAAGTTGCTATGTTAACTAAGCAAAAATGTAACATAAAAGTTGTTGGTCATATTATTCTTAATATTTAAGTGCATTGATAATTTGGTAATACAAATTACATTTTATTTATCAAACCATATAAGTTTGTGTGTCCCCTAAATAATTGTCCACCCTGTAGTATTAGGGAATCTGCCTAGAAAAGCAATACACTTGTGACATTTCCCAAAGGCAAGTTTTTCTTTCTTCCCTGTCACCCGTCTCTCCTCAATGTGAATTGTCCAGCTCATATCGGCTTTTCTTTATATTAAAAAAAAGGTTGTTGATCGTTGTATACCTTAAAAAGTTTGTTAAGAGATGTAGTTTGTGTTTTAACAACAATTTTATCTGTCAAGTTCAAATCCCTTAATATCTTTCTAACATGAGAAGTTAATGTGTAGTGCATCTGGTGGCACCAAGTGGCTACAACAATAAAAACCTGCCAGCCACATTTGGTAACTTACCCTTCTTCAGACAAGTTTGGCCCCATGAACGTGTTTAAACAAAGGAAGTTAAAGCAAGTGTTAAAGCAATTGAGATTTAATGAGGATGACCACTTGTTTTGTCTGAGTAAACATCATTATGTTACCTGGTGTGGACAGAAAGGTAAATAATACCAGCATTCAGCTACTTCTTAAACGTGGTCTACTGTAAAGTTAACTGAACCAAGAAGGGGAGAGTTTATAGTTTTTCTGTAAATCCAAAATATGTTGACTATAAATTGAAATGGTTGAATAACAGAATCCCTGGCAACATTGTTGTGGACCACGCCACATGACTTGAAATAGACTGTTTTGTTCATACGTTTATGTCTACATTGTCATAGTTGTTGAATCGGACGGAAGTGTTTTGACTCAAAATGCCACTAATGACATGTTTGTAAAAAGCAACAGGACATTGGCTGTGAGAGCAGGAACACTGTTTTCTTGGTTCCCTGTGGGAATAAACAATGGCCAAATGCTCTTTGTTTCCGCTCATCACTGCAGTCATGCTAGACTCAGGAATTCAGGCAAAGGAGGAAATATATGAAATCTTAAACATTTATTCAGGAATGCACAAAATATAGCAAATAACATACAATCTGGGTATACTTAATTCTTCAATTTTACAAATATTAGGAACAATATTCTTTTCTTAAAGTATAAAATATACATATATTGTACTGTAACAATGGACTTGCATTAAAACGCACCCTCAGACTAATGTGACATCACTACAATAGGACACAGAGTCACACTGAAAGTCATTTCACAAGGACATTGGCAATTGATTGTGCTGACGTGAACAAGGCTGAAACATACCTGACCAAAAATACACACACCTTCCCCTTTTACTGCAAAACCAGTACTGTTGTTCAGGGTGTTTTGATCATAAAATATACACACTATACAGTACACTTAGACAACAGTTTGGAAACCACCGCATAAATGAACCAAGAAAACGTATTCTGTTATTTTTCACAAAAAAGTTAAAGTAAAGGCACACCAGCAACGTTTGGGCTCACACATAACATATGAATACAGTCCAAAGATATCTAAATGGCAACAACAAAATGTGTAACTTTCATTCAAATGCAGAGCAAGAAAAATGAACATGGCACATGGTTAAGTGTTACAGTATTATAAAAGAAAAGGTTTCACTTCTTAAGGTTTAAACTAAACTTTCATTTCCACCCATCATTGCCAAACTATCATCAAAATAATTCGATTTTATACAACACAATTAAAGATTATCTTAAGTGCTCTATATATATATATATATTCAATCCCAGAGAATTATGGTAGGCTTAATGTACATGATGTCAAAAATCGACTTTACTTCAAACTCTGCATAACTGAGGTTTTTATCACACGTTGTATATCTAACTGTGTAAAATACTGAACTCCTTGGCAACTAAGGATGAAGTATGAGTGATAGTACAGTTTGTTTGCTGATGAAAGTAGATAACAAAAAATATCTAAGGGGTCAAGAAACTAATGGCTTTTCCACTGCAGCACGTAGCACGGTTTAAGCGGGCCGTTTTTTTGTTGCTTTTCCACTAGGGGTAGTTCCGGCTCAGGGCTAATTTTTCACCTTTTTTTTCTGGCTCTCCAAAATCAAGGTTCTTACCGGGCCAACAACCGGGCTGAATATGCTAAACTAGTGACGTAAACTCTCGACTGCTGAATGGTCAGAGAATCGCTGGCAAGGGGGCTACAACTACAACAAAATGAACATATTTTACCGTGATTTAATTGTAATACACGTTTCAAAATGACGCCGAAGTAACAACATACTGATACCGGTCTGCAGACAAGACGAAAAACCTTTTAAAATGCGTGTTTTCTGAATGGAGATAAGGCTAAGCTAACGCAGTATATGCTCCGACCGTCCACACTCACAACAACGGCCTACAGACATAAATAAACCAGCAACTGTATTTTCCATGCCACAGACAGTCTGTGGTTTGTACTTGTTTAACTTTTGTCTAGTTTCTGAACAGATATGAGGAGCTGTGAGCTCTGAGTGCTAACAGCTAACGGCTGATGTTTTGATTTTGTGCTTTGCATTGAAGATTACGTCACGGCAGTTTTACGCAGCGTCGCTCCGCCCGCCGAACAGCCGATCGCCCCGCCTACACTGCGTTACTATAGTTACTAAATGCAGCATAAAGTGAGCCTGGCCTACCAAGGCCTAAACATACTGTACTAAGCCATGCTAGGTCCTGCAGTGGAAAAGCGTCATAAGATCAGTTTAGGCTCTTAATAGAGAGATGTGTCTTTTCTTCATCAACCAATCAATCAATCAATACATTAAGGACACACTGTGCTAAAACGTATCTGTGCTGTGTCCCCATATGTATTATCCTTAGTTTCCTACAGATTTGTATGTGGTGTGCTGTTTCAAACGTTAATGGAAATTCTTTGTAAAAGAACAAATGCAAATACATTTAAAAACAAGAACAGTCAAAACACTGTTGAATGCTTGAAGAATAAAACAAGCCTTTACTGTCAATCTTTCACCAAATATAAAAAAATCTCTTTAGGAATAATTAAATTCACCTCATATTGACTTTGTGCTTCTTCCACTGCGATGACATGATTAACACAATGAAAGATTATTGCTCTGCTTTCATATTCTAGTTTGAAAAGAGCAAGCGTTCTGGATTTCAAATGTATTTTTCAAATACATATGAGCAGGAAAAAAGAAAAGTGTGCTTATGTGAGATCGTGTACAGTATTTACATGAATGTTGCAGTGAGAGTTTGAGTTAAAGCCACTTAATCTGGTCCCAGTTTGGCGATCAGTTCGTCGCAGATCTTAGTGAGCTCCTCAATCTCTTGATTCTGTGAGAGACAGAAAAAGAAAGGATGTTTACAAATGATGGCAAAGCTTAAATGTCAGCTCAGAAACACAATTCTGCAAAGATGAAAAGGTTTAAATGTAGAGAGAACATGTTTTTTCAATAGCTCCCCTAAGACTTGATGTGCAACATTTGAATAGGATGAATCAGTCGTGCAGTGTTTAATACTAACTGTAGATGCAGTAATTGTTTCATTTGATAGGGCTCTCCTTTAACTTCCCCAGAAGCTGGTGTTAGTAAACACTGCCCCCTAGTGTTAGAAGCCATGCCAGTGTGTTGGCAGACATGCATTTATAACCGTGCTGAATGCCTGCACATGATGAACTACTTGCAGTGATTCTTTACAGATCGCTGTAATTCAAGCACTTATGAAATCATCGTATTTAACACCATCATTTACATTTTAACATTGCGAGCCACAGGGGTGGGATTTCGCTATAACATGTGATCTGTTATTGCACAAAACAGGAAAACGATTCTTTTCCAAAGCAAAAGAAAAAACAAAGTTCCTCTTGGTGCAAAACAAGTAAAAAGCTGAGGGGAAGACAAATGATCATTTTCACTAAATCTAAAAACAAAAACAGACATTACGAAAAGGGGAACGGATGTGAAACAACTGGTTTTGTGAAAAATATGAACTTAACATTGGGAAATAGTGCTGTAATCCCACGAAGGGTGACATAAAGACCACATACACATCGATTATTTGGGTCAATAATTGATATCACGATTATTAAAAACGATTATCCATTTATCATCCATGTATTTATTGAAAACAAATGTGAACAGTATGTTTTTAACAGTTGATTACCCTGAACTTTAAGTATAATTCAACTGAGAAACCAATTAAAAATAAATATTAAAAAAATGAATAAAAACAAATAAAATAAATAATCATTTTATTTCGATTATGTTGCAAGCCAAAATCGTAATTGCGATTAAAATACAATTAATGGAGCAGCTCTAATACAATCTCAACTTATTTTGATAGTAATCACTTCTACATAACACGAATATCTTTGCCAATATTACACTCATGTTCAAACAAACCGTTGGCAGACTCTGACTTGAAAGTAAAAGCCAAACACATCGACTGATGACTCTCCCAGGTAAAGGGTTTTCACCTCAATCCTCTAGAGTGTTTGATCAGGACGCCATTCCCTGCACTCACACAGGTTAACACAGAGAATCCATTTTAATCAGATTGCAGTCGTCCTACCTTTTGAAGGACGGCTCTTTCTAGTGAATCCGCCTTCATCTGCTCCATCCTCAGGCTGGCGCTCAGTGCCACACCCTCAGCGTTGGCCTTGGCACGTACCTGTGCTATGTCCTCGTTAGCCCTGTTAGAGAGGAAGTGAAGGAGACAAAGGAGGCCGTCAAATCAAGAGTCTGGTGTTGATTTTCAAGATGAAGAACGTGTCCGATGATTGAGTGACATGGAAGCTTACTTGTCCAGTTTCTCCTCAGCGTGCACCTTGAGGGTTTGGTATCGCTGCTCCTCCTGCTTGATCCGCATCAGGTAGTCCTGCGCACACCTCTTCAGCATCTCCTCATTCTGGACAGATTAATGAAGAGAATATGTAGTGATCCGGCTATTACGTGGCAGCAGATTTAATAGCATTTTATTACTGAAGCTCTACTAACCTTCTTAAAGCCCTCCAGGACCCCCTTCATGTTCTCGTACCTCCTGAAGAGGTCAGCGAAGGAGCGCTCCACAGAGTTGAGGTCGGCTATTGCCTGGTCCCTCTCCAAGGTCAACTGTCTGACAGACTTACTGCAGGACAGCGTCTTCTGGTTCTGCTCGTCCTCTGCAACAGACAGAGGAGGAATCAAAAGATTTAAAGGGTAAGATGCGGAAGAAATGTTAAAGGCTGAAGACAAAGGTTGGCAGTGTTTGTTTTCAGGGCTCTTAACCTTTAGCATAGCTGACCTGAGGAACGTAGACTACAGAAACCCCCTGATCTCTTTAACTCATCTTTCAAGACTCACTTCTAGAGTTTGGATATTTTTCCATTTTAAATCTGTGTATCTTTTGTCATTTTATTTGGGTCATTTTTATTTGCACAGGTTTTTACTACTGCGGTTGTATTTGTTATTTCTATCTGTGGACTGGGTTTTTGTTTTCTCCCTTGCTTTTTTTGTCTTTGTTTTAAAATGATCATTACAAATGAAGTCATTATTATTTATTATTCTAGGGGATCAGCAACAAATATAATGATTTGATTAAATTCAAGTAAAGTCAATCCAATTATTTCATGAAATCTTACACTCTTAGCTGAGGGTTTTATTCTCTAATTTTAACTGGAAGAACCCGCATTTTAGTCATGTTTTCTAATGACACAATGCTTGGGGGGGTTGTCATGAAAACCACAAACAATTTACTCTATAGTCCAGGGCTATTCAATGGGCGGCCCGCGGGCCAAATCCGGCCCCGGGGTGATATTTACTGGCCCTTTGAGTATAATGTTAAAAAGTAATCTACTTTTTTTTTTTGGGCCAGAGTGCCTTTATTCCAGAGAGGGTGTTAAATTGAGAGATAGAGGAGAAGACATTGCCTGAAAACATTGGCGGGCTCGGGTTTCGAACCCACCTACTAGCTACTGTAGTGACAAACTGTCATTTATTGCATCTCTGCGTGAATGATTAGATCATTTCACCTAAATCAAATGAAATTATGTTGATGGTTAAATGAGCTTCACATGTGGGCCTACTGAGTTCTGAACTTGCCATTTAGATCTATAAAGGCCTTGGGGCTATGTTGTTTGATTGAATTAAACACAATATATGCACTCCACTATGCTCTTGTAGTATTTACTGTATCTGAAGCTCTTAATATGATCGCTCATATTTCAAGCCATCTTTTTCCCGGCCCCTTGCTTTGGATCATTTTCATCAACCGGCCCCCTTTCCAAACTAATTGAATAGCCCTGCTATAGTCTACAGTAAGCCAGGCATTCTGAAGCCAGAAGACATTAAACAAAAACAACATATACCACCACCAGGGGGCAGCCACTCACCAATCATCTGTGCAACTGTTTTCTCATACTCTGCAACTATGTTCCTGTCAAGTAGAAAAACGGAATGTTCACAAATTATCAATGACGTTTTTTTCAATGTATTAAGACAGGTTTCTTGCAGTTGTACTTTTAAATGAAGCAAATATCTAGGGAAACAGTTCTATACCTCATCTCCAAAACCTCCAATCTGCTGTCCTCATACTTCTTCTTCCACTCACTGACCTCAATCTCCTTAGTGATGATCTAATTGGACGACAGGACATGAAGAGAAACAATATTCAGAAATAAATCAATCTGCAGATACTCTTTATGGAGAGAAACTTTCTGTGACATACCTCCTCTCTGATCAGGGTGAGCACTGCGGCCTTGTCCATCTCACTCAGAGAGATGTGGTCCTGGGACAGGGCGGCAGCGTCTGAGCCCTCACTGCTGGCCATCTTTGTGGAAAGCTTCATGGACATCTCACTCTGTGGAACATGCAGAGAACATACTGTTTAAGTCCAAGATCTGACAAAAAAACATCCACGATCCTGCTACTTCTGCTGTTCTTATTAGATCACATGATGTCTGTGCAAAGAGCGATGCAAGAAAACAGTACTCAGGGCTGTTGATTTTATTAATCAAACATAAAGCGTGCTCATCTTAGACAAATATTTTAGGGTGAAACCTATTAGATAAAAACATTGATATTGGAGTGTGAGGAAGCAAAACAGTCTGATAATGGCTGAACTATCTTCTTACCAATTGAAATAAAGAACAGTTTTGCGGTCATCTTTAAATATTCATACTGAGGTACCCAAACTACTACTACTTACTATATCACTTTTCAGACTGCAGATTTCCTTCTCCTCTGGGTGATCTGTAATCTTTGTCTCAGGACCTTTGAGGAAAAAAAAACATTTAAAGATAAATGGCAACTTTTTTATGACGAAAAACCCCATATACCCGTTATACTAAGTTATAATCCACACAGTAGCATATTACTGTGCTCAATGTCACTTCAACTTGGAAAAATACGGCAGTATTTGTCTAGTTTTCATGAGATTGTGTTGTTTCCATGGTTAAAATATAGTGTGATTCTTGCACCACTGATACAGACCAATTCTATGGGAGATATTCACAGTGTAACACGTCTTACTTTCTTACATTCAGGCCTGGGTTGTGAGTGTGCATTCTCCATTTAATTTCTGCCTAAAGTTTGATACATTCTTAGGGCTTTGTCATTTATACATACTCTATCTATACTCCAAATAGAAGTTGCTGAGAAAATCATGAAACTGTATCCCTTTGCTTGTTGACAGTTTCCAATTCATGCTGGTGTTGGAACTGGCACCTCTCTGGGCATGCCTGCCTCTTTAACACCATGCCTCATTCATACACTGTTTTTTGCTTCATAAAATACTTATCACTGCCAACTTTGTCTATTTTGAAATGAGCACCCAGTGGAGAGTTTGAAACATACCATCCTTAAGACATATATCATCGATTGATTTATCGACTGTCTGTTTTTTCGGAGGTGCTTTGTTGCACTGGGGTTCTCCTCTCTCCTCCTGGATGTCTGCGCTCTGGCCCAACATGCCGGAGCAGGCGAGCTTCTCCTCATCAGTGGCGTGATGAACTCGCTGAGTGATCTCTGGGGTCGAGGCCACCACCTCCTCCTCCTCCTCCTCCTCCCCCCCCTGGAGATCAGGGAGACAGATAGGATCCTTATGTCATACTTCCATATCAAATATCAATTAAAAAAAAACATTATACTATTTTTGTACTTCTCCAAAAAAAGAAAACCACTATCTATTCAGACCTGAAATTCCAAAATCTAGTTAATAAAACAAAAATTCAAACAAATATTAATAACATAAAAAAGAATAACCAATATAAGTATTATAATATAAAACACAAAAGTAGTTTGAAAAAAACACGAATACACTTAATATTTGTATTAAATGCATCAAATACTATAGAGAGGAAGTGAAGTGTATCAGTTGTATTATTCTGTCACACAAAATGGTTACACAATGTCTTGAGTATATCTGCTGCACTACAGACCTGGAGCCGCTGCTGGTGCTCATGTCAGCTTTTATCAATGTGTGTGTGTGTGTGTGTGTGTGTGTGTGTGTGTGTGTGTGTGTGTGTGTGTGTGTGTGTGTGTGTGTGTGTGTAAAAGTTCGGCCGAGAGGTTAGACCGCTGCTGAATAATGGGAAATGCAGTGTCACTGCAGTAAGGTGTAACATTTCAGATAAAAAAACTACCGTTACCTGATCGCACACTTCAAGCACCAAGGACTGGCTCTCATCATATTTCTGAACTTTACAGGAGTTCCTACAAAACAAAAACAGTATGATTCAAGATTCAGAAAATATAGAACAAAAGTGGAGATTCATAAGAATATAACAACTGTTTCTACAACCATATAGCTGCAAGCATTTTAATGCATATTAATAGATGGCTCAAAAATAAGCTACATACATAGACTATAATTATACTAGCGCTGCCAAACTTCTGGAGGGATCACAAGACGGGACAAATTAACTTGATGATGTATGGCCTTGTGAGTTGAGGTGCAAGCAATGATTATTTCTCTTAAATGCTCCCTCAACAGCTCAGCACATGCCAAGATGAGTCAAATGGAAAGCCAGCATGCAGTAAAGAGAGCTTAGATAGTAAGAGTACTTACAACAGAAAACAGAGAAACTTGACTTGCTCAGAGGTCCCCGGGCTAATAGAGGTGGACGAAAGCAGAGGTCGGGGGGGTTGCGTAACAGACAAGAGGAGGAAGGATGAAAGATGAAGGGGATATTGATTTAGGGAATGGAGGAAGAGACAAAGGACAGAGAGTGAGTGGCTTAAGGCGTTGATCGGCATGTTAGATAGTTGAAAGATTAAGCAAAACCCAAGATGCCCACAGACCTGGACAAGTTTAAATTAGCATTGCAGCTATAAATGCTTCTGAAGGCCTATATATATATATATATCCTGTTTGGGAATTGCATCAATGGCCAGTATGCAGTGTTAAGTGCTCAGCGTTAGTTCAAAGCAAAAATTAGCTGCCAACACATCCAGCCTAAGAAAAAACTTAGTGGAGTTGATCTAAACCTCATATGACAGAGTATCACCTGTTATTATTGTTGATAATGTTACAGCCTCAAAATGGCAAACTCTTGGAGTAAAATAGAAAAGGTTTTGTTCTCCTTTAGACTTACTCGATTGCCCTCTCTTTTTCTTTCTTGGGAATCTGCCTGGCTTTCTTCTCTCCCGCTGGCTTCACTACTTTAGGTTTGCCCACGTCTTTCACTTTTTTCTCCGGCTGAGGGGCACTGCTGGACGAGTCCTCGTTGGTAGTATTTTTGGAGGATTTAAAAGGGTCCACAGAGTCGTCAAAATTGTCTGGATCAAAACTGTAGGAGCTCTTAGGGAGCACTGGAGAGCTGCTCGCTGTGCTGTTGCTACCAAACGGATTGAAGTTGGGGTCGTCCCACTGATTGGGATCGAAGTTATAGGCTCCTGATTTAGGAATAAGAATATCGTCTACGTTAAGAGCAGTTGAGTCTGAAACTGGCAAAGCAGTTTCTGGAAGAGGATCAGAAACCGGTTCTGACACTGTTTGAGAAACTGGTTCTGTGATAATGGGTTCTGGTGCTTGTTTAGAAACTGGCTCTGGTGCTGGTTTAGAAACTGGTTCTGTGATAATGGGTTCTGGTGCTGGTTTAGAAACTGGTTCTGGTGCTGGTTTAGATGAAGCCTCTGACGCTTTGGCCTTCTTCTTAGCTGCCAGTTTCTTTTTACCACCTAATTTCCTTGGAGGTGGCTTGGTGACTGTCCCCTCGTCCAAACCGAACTCGAGCATTACGGACTTTGCCTCTGACGACGACGACAATGACAACTCAGCTTCTACTGGAGGGGCTGCGCTGTCCTCACATGCTGGCAAAGAGCAACCGATTGGCTCTAGTCTGGGAAAAGAGCTGGAACCAAACGGTGGGGGAGAGTTCTGGATTTTGGATCCGCCGCAAGTGAAAGGGTTAAAGCCGTCATCCAGCTGGTCAGGGTCAAATTTGTAAGTGGCCTTGGGAAGAGGAAGTTCCTGTTCCTCAATTGTTTGGGGAGGTTCGTCCACTGAAGCCTTGACCTCGAGTGATGGAGGCTTAGACTTCCTGTGTTTGGTCTTTTGAGGGGGCTCTGTCTGATCAAGGCCATTGCACTGTGGTTCTGGGTCAGCCAGAGGTTTCTGCTCAAGGGGCTCGGGAGCTGGGCTGAATGCAGGTTCACTGCAATGGAATGGCTCTGGTTCTGGGGTAGGAGCAAGAAGAGAAGCAGGAAGAGGAGTAGGATCAGGAGACTGAGCTGGAGCTGGAGTTAAAACTGGATCTAGAGCTGGAGCTGGATCTAGAACTGGATCTAGAGCTGGAGCTGGATCTAGAACTGGATCTAGAGCTGGATCTAGAGCTGGAGCTGGATCTAGAACTGGATCTAGAGCTGGAGCTGGATCTAGAACTGGATCTAGAGCTGGATCTAGAGATGGAGCTGGATCTAGAACTGGATCTAGAGCTGGAGCTGGATCTAGAACTGTATCTAAAGCTGGATCCAGAGCAGGAGCTGTATCTAAAGCTGTATCTAAAGCTGGATTTAGAGCTGGAGCTGTATCTAAAGCTGGATCTAGAGCTGGATCTAAAGCTGGATTTAGAGCTGGAGCTGTATCTAAAGCTGGATCCAGAGCAGGAGCTGTATCTAAAGCTGTATCTAAAGCTGGATTTAGAGCTGGAGCTGTATCTAAAGCTGGATCTAGAGCTGGATCCAGAGCAGGAGCTGTATCTAAAGCTGTATCTAAAGCTGGATTTAGAGCTGGAGCTGTATCTAAAACTGGATCTAGAGCTGGATCCAGAGCAGGAGCTGTATCTAAAGCTGTATCTAAAGCTGTATCTAGAGCTGGATCTAGAGCTGGATCTAAAGCTGGATCCAGAGCAGGAGCTGTATCTAAAGCTGTATCTAAAGCTGTATCTAAAGCTGTATCTAAAGCTGGATCTAGAGCTGGATCTAGAGCTGGATCTAGAGCTGTAGCTGGAGCTGCAACTAGGACAGGCGCCGGGACTTGGAATGGCTCAGAGGATACAGCTGTGCATTCAGGCACTTCAGGCTCTTCATTCACTAATGATGGTGCAGAGGCAGAGCCCAAGGCCTCTGGGAGTTTCTCTGGTTGCCGTGCGGGCAGAGTCTCAAAGTTTACCTCCAGAAGGCCACCCATGGGCGCCACAGGCTCATCCTGACCCATGTTGTGGCTGAGCCAAAAATCCAGATCCAACACAGGAGCAGTCACTATCAGCTGCTCCTCCTGATCCACATCTAAAGAAAACATTTGAGAACAAAAATAATTAAAACAAATATATATTCAAATGCACAATATCAAAATTGCATTCATATTTCTTGCCTATAATTATCTCTCCAATCAAATCTAAACTCAGATGTTAGTGACATCTGATTGGTTCCTAGCCTAGCCAGCTAACTGTTCCTTTTGCTGCTGTTGCCATGGCGATGTCCTACTAGAAACTTTTTTTGCATTAACAAAAAAGAGAAAAAAAATAAAGACCTATGATTTATTTTTAGTTGTGTTGACAACAGGGGAGTGGAGTTATTATTGCCTCCAGGGAGACCTTTGACACATCAACATATTTCACTACGCCTGTCATACTCGCCATATTCATGTAATATTATGTTGCTAGGAGACTAGCACAGTCTGCTGTGTTCCTACCTAACCCTCACATTAGCAGAGTGTCCTTTTCAAAGTAATCCTGCAGTCCAACATGCCCATACAAAGATTTCATCATCCAACTCTACATGAATATTCAATAGAAAAGTACAGGACTCCTTGGTGTTCTCTCACTTGTTTTTTTATAAAGGGAGGAGCATGTGGAAGCAGGGATAAACCTCACTTGGCTGCAGGTAAGTGCACTATGTGGTCTAATTTGCTTAAGTCAATTATGGTTTTGCATGTGTTTACCATTTTGTCATGATATACTTAATTTTTTCAATAAAAAATACTTTGCACCTGTGATTCATAGTTATTTACATCAGTCAAACACTTATAATTATTATTAATTAAAGCACTTTCTGTTGTGCTTTTTAAAATCACAACAATTCTAAATAGTAAATATAAAAAAAAATATAGAATTCAAATGGATTGCCAAATGTAATTGTATCATTAATTTCACCACAGATGCCTCTTTCTATTTAGGAGACATACTAAACAACCCTTAATTATCCATTTGTTTATTACCACTAGGTGCCTTTTTGGCCCTGACAAAAGTATGAAAGTATTTAACAACGGTCCCCATGCAATATACTCATGTGATGCAGCGATGGAGACTGTGGAAGGGCTTACACAGACATAGCCATTAGCATGTTTACATTTAAAGGAGTTTCTAGAGGCACTGCCAAACTTCCTCATTCACTGCTGCAGGAAGGGATGTTTGTGGGTTGAAACAAAAGTGAACTCCCTCTTCGCTACCCAACGGTTGACCTGAACAATGTGCACGTTTGAAAATATTGTTGTAGCCGTTTTACAGGAAGGATTTACTCCTACCAATGCTGCCTCACGTCAACACATGGGCCGTTTCTCAATGTCGAGTAAACCTGCTGCAGAGCCACTATTTCAAGTATCGAGTGGTGCCGAAGGACTGTTTAAATGCATGTTAAATGCCTAGCATTCGGCGCCACTCGATGGCGTAGTATACTTGAAATAGTGGCTCTGCAGCAGGTATACTCGACATTGAGAAACGGCCATGGTCTCCTCAAAACCTCCTTAAAAAGCGGGCTGCATGATAGTAACAGCCTGATAACAATCTCAGTCCCTCCTCTATCAGTTACCAATACAACACGAGGTGAACCAAAGCTTTTGTTGAACCTGTTGAATTCCAGAGCGGAGGGCGTGCACTCTCTGCTCCAGGCTCCTCCTCTTAGTAATTCAATGGACAGCGCTTTCACCATCATCATCACACCCAAACCTCTGAGTGCATACCGTCTGACATACCAAACATGTTTCACTGCTTAGGTGTTACTCACCTTAGTTACCGCTAATAAAAACATTGCAATTCATCACATTGATATGATCCATAAGGAAATTGTGTAACAATATTATGCATTATAATCAATGTCTATAATCAAACAAACGTATGATGCATTAAATAAATTGCATATAGTATATAATAACAATTATATATAGAAAGATTATGATGTACTACAAGTATAAGAATTATAATGCACTATGGTCCTTGCAAAAGAAGAGTCAATAAGTATGTAATATCTAACCTTATACATTATTATATAACGATTTATGATGGGCTACAGTGTGTTAAGATGATTGAAAGTGTTAATATACAGTACTTTAAGCTGATGTTGTATGTTTTTAATGCATAAAGAGAAGGCCATCATAAAAACTGTGACTGAAAATCTAATATTGCCATAACTTGTCATGGTATCTTTACTTCCAGGCCGATAAAGTACAATCAAAGATAAAATGCAGAAGGCATGTACATTCTGGACAAAGTCAGACTGCATATGTATCCAATTACTCTGGTGTGGTGAACCTGATACGCCTCGCACACAGTTCAGGCACAGAAACGGAGTTAACCTAAACCAACATGTGCTATTCAAATGATTATATTATCATATAAAGATGATGGAGTTGATGCATTTAAAAAGCTATTTTTCTTTTGTTGACTATCAAAGTGTCAGCCAAATGAAATGTAATGATGTCTGAACATTCAGGGCAACATAAAAGAACTCCTGACTTCAACATAGACTCCTGTTACCATGGCAACTTCAACGAGGGAAACTGGGTTTATAATATGTATATCAAAAGTACATTTCTTTCAAACTGTTTGATACTAGTTTAATGTTAATGAGAACAGCCTGCTACCAGGGGGGTTTCTGCAACGTGTTCATGTCTTCAACAGTTAGATGACTTTGCTCCTTCTTATCTTTCTCTCTATTTCTCAGTGTTTTTTGCTCAGGAGTTGCCCCACCTGTTTTGTCTGCATCAGTGTTGTTGTTCTCCAGCTCTTCGGGGAAGGTTGAAGGAGCGTGGACAGGAGTTGATGCTTCAGGAGTTTCAAAATGACTCTCTGAGTCAGAGCTGTGGAACCCAGAGAGAGAGAGAGAGAGAGAGAGAGAGAGAGAGAGAGAGAGAGAGAGAGAGAGAGAGAGAGAAATATTCATTATATAACTGAGGAGTAGTGATCTCAATATAAACACTATGTACTCTAAAGACTCTACTTAATTAGCACTGGATTGAAATGTGCAATATGTGCAAGTACAAGGACAAATGCAAATCATTTACATTGTACAAGATGTTCCCTTCTAGGGTTGTTCTATTTTCATACTTTTTACAGGGGGGACTATCAATTCAGAGAAGCAAAGATGGTACTGAACCTTGATGCACCTTAACAAGTCTCTACTGTCCCAGATCTGTCTATATTACACCTAACTCTCTCCTTTGATGCTGTATTGTATTTCATTCATGCTAGTAATGTAGACAAAGATTAAGATAAGATAAAGAGGAAATAGGGCAGACCACTCTTTCCTGTCAAATCTATAGCACTATCGTTTGAGACGGCACCATACAAATGATCTTTATGTATGAATTTTAAAATAAGATGTGAACATTGCAACTGAATCCAGCACTCAGGTTAGCACTTGGTTAGATAACTGCTGAGAGTAAACAAACATTTTGGCATTTGAGGCTAGAGTGGTGATACATTATTCGGTCAATCAAATATCTGAGTGTGGGAGAAAAAGTAGTGGGGTAAACATTTACTTTGAACAAAGGCAGGGATAACGTTATCAAAGCAGACCCGAGGATACGAGACAGGATAGGGTCGGGTGATGCTTTGACCATGTGTCATGTTCCTGAGCAATGATTACATCATTCAACCAAACCTGTACCTGGCTGCATTGCTGGAGTGTGTGTTATATTTCTGTGCAGCCACAGAAATGAGCATGTAGTGCCAGCGAGAAAAACATTCAGTTCAAACACAGTGATGACATGAACCAAAGCCACACCAGAAATGTGTCAGCGCTGCATGGCAACATAACACATCTGACATTTAAACAACAACAAAAAAGGCTGATGCAAATAAGCCAACGGTTTCCCCCCCGCTTTTCCAAACCTTCATCATTTCAGAGATTCCTCAACCTGACGACAGGTGGACACACACACATGGACATACATGTGAAAATGCCCCCTCCTCCAGTTCAGCCAGTATGAAGCACAACACTTGCCTGTAGCTTTGAGATTTCTCCTCCTCCTCCTCCTCCTCCTCCTCTCCAAGTTGCTGCCTCTCTTCGCTGGCTTCATGCCCCTCTTCATGCCCCTCTTCATCCTCCTCTCCCTCTCCCCCTCGCACTGCCGTCCACGTCCATTTGGCCCATGACACGGGTGACAGCCAAGACATCACTCCTCTTTCCACGGGGGCTATTCAACCCTCTCTCGAATCAAAGGACTCCCTGAACTGTTTTCCAGGGCCTGACGTAAACCCTTTTCTGTGTGTTTCTCCTTAGATTTCCACCCTGCCAAAGGCTCTCACATCTTCCCACAGAGGTTCTCTCTTCACATGAGTTCGCAGATGCCAATGAAATGAAAAATCATTTATATTCCCCCTCTTCAATTTGTAAAACCTCCGTCTTAAAATCATAAATTCTTCAGGTGCCTTCTCTTCTCTTTTCCCAGTCACGCTCCCCCTGCCTCTGCCTCGGTGGCAGAATACCACAGCTCTGATCAGCTGGGTTTCAAAATGCTGTTCTCCCTCTCTCCTCTGCTGAGCACCCCCTCCCAACCTCCATCTCGGGCTGGTCCACCGATAAAAAACATAGCGGGGGAGACAGGAAACTTGAAGCTCTGAAAATGAATGCAGCTTCGGTTACTCAACCAACATGAGTTCCCCCGTGGTTGGAGAATGGTACGATCATGTCAGTCCGCTCTACCACTCTGAAGCAAAAGGAGGGAGTAAAAAAACAAACACAGAAGGTGGAGGAGGAGCTGGACTCTTGGGGCTCCACGTTTTATAGCCCATAGAGAGAGGGTAGGAATGTGGGGCTAGTTCTTTAAGCCTTCCCTGCTCCCCCAGGCTGTTAAACAGTTAACTGTTTTCTCCCATCCAGTGGCAGGCAGGCATGCATGACCGGGGCAACCAGTTTTGTTATAGCCCCAGGAGATCTACCTGATTCAATGTGTCTGCGGTTCAGACTACAGAACAGACAGGGATCCAGGGCCTTCAATGCACTCATTAAGGGATCGTAAAAACCCTTTGTTGTTTTTGACACGAGCACACATTGTACTATATTTTTCTGTTTATCTGTGTTATTGTGTTGCACTGTTGGAGAAGCCTGTGACCTAAGATTTTCATCGGCATAACTACACTGTAGATATGTTCGTATGACAAAATAAAGAACCTTGAACCTTGTTGAATGCTTTTAAGACAAAGAAGAATAACATAAGAGGACTGTTCTCTTAACTGCAAAAACCCAAGAGCCACTCATTATTATCAACAACGGACTCTCCATGTAGATTAAAAGGCCCTTGACACACACAAAGATAAACAACTTGTGGAAATAGTCTCAATTCGAAACACAGCTTCTAGTGATCTATTAATACCAGCTGATGATGGTGATATTATTAAATGTTCTTGTCAAACTGTACTTTTTCAGGAGTTGCACCCTTTATGGCACCACTGACCAGTGGTGTTCCCCAGGGCTCCATCTTTGTCCCCCTGTTGTTTGCTATAGACTAGCTCTCACTGGGACACAACATTTGTTTATATTGTTACAAGAATGAAACTCAGTTATTTTGCCCAAACTTTTGAAAGCCACCTAATCTCTTTTCTATCAGAAACCCAAGACCTGGATGTCTCAAAACCAGTTCAATTAAAAATAAATGTTGACTCCACTTCGAGCGATATAATTACTAACAAAGCACTTATATACTAACAAAGGACTGGCTTACCTAAAGCCTGTTGAGTAGCACTTGAAATGTTTTGGCTCTATGAAACCTGATGTACTTATATGATTCTGTTTTCTTCAAGTTTGTATCGTCTTGGTCGAATGCACTTATTGTAAGTCGCTTTGGATAAAAGCGTCAGCTAAATGCAATGTAATGTAATACATATTAACCAATTGTTTTTGATGTTTATTAGTGACCTCTTGTCATAACTGTTTTCTAATCATGCTTCCTTCCATATGTTATGAAAAGCTCTTTAAGTGTATTCAAATATTTATATCTAATGTCATGATTATTTAAGTCACTGTTTTCAAGGTTTAGCCACAGCACAATCTCTCCCCTATAGTTATAAAACAAATTATAGCTGGCTCCTATTACTGAATTGCTGCTACCCTAGGAGCCAAAGTACGGTTTCAGATCTGACTGAGCCCTAACTCAAAACTAATGGTGCCTGTTTTGTTTTTGTGGTTAGGAATGCTAGTACAAGAACTTCTTGTTAGAGATTCAGTAACATGTTTTACTTCTAACCTGTCTTTAAAAAAACAACATATTTGTGTCACTTAAGTTGTAATACTATATGTATTATCTGTCCTATTTGTTTATTTCACACTTTATTATGTTATGATTTAAGGGTAGTTCATTATTTGTATTTTTAGTGGCCTGATTTTATTTAATTGTACTGTGCTGTCTACAAACAATTTGGATATGTTAATTTCCAAAGCAAAATGAAACACAACATAACTTCAACATGCCCACAGCTTGTGTGCTTTTTCAAGACCACCTATGTGTGATATACTTACTGTTTTGTTAGCCTTGTATATAACATGCTAATGCCTCCTCTGTTTATTGTTTTATAATACTGTACTCCTTCTCCAGAAACTTCTCTTTGGTTTGGCAATACAACAGCTAAAACTCCTCCCAAATTCCTACACACACACACACACACACACACACACACACACACACACACACACACACACACACACACACACACACACACACACACACACACACACACACACACACACACACACACACACACACACACACACACACACACACACCACACACACACACACACACACACACACACACACACCACACACACACACACACACACACACACACACACACACACACACACACACACACACACACACACACACACACACACACACAAAAGGGTGGAGTTTGTCATTTGCCAACATATTTACTATCTGGCTTCTGGCGGGGCTTGAGGCTGGGTGGGAGAATCGATCCCTGCTTCATTGATCATGTGAAAGTGGTAGTGATGGGGTAGTAGTACAAAGAGATTATCACTGGAGTCCAATGATCAATGTGTGCCTTTATTCTGGAGATAGTTTATCTTTCCTGTCTGTTAAATGTTGGCTAACAAAAGCAGCAGTCCTATTTTTGAATTCACTGAACAACATTGGAGACCCTCAGTCGATAAGGCCTATTACAACAAAGAATACTGTCTTAACACATAATGGAGCCATCCTTGTTTATAATTCTTGATCAACACTTAGGTTTTATTTGAGTAATAAACAAAGATACAGCAAATGAATAACCTTGAATGGGAGGTGCGATTGTGGTGTGTTTTCTGCTCTATGGATGTTATTTTTCAAAATAGAAATGGGAAAGATATGAAACTCTGTCTGTTTACTTAGGTTATTGTCTTATTCTTAATGGTTGCTTGTTGCATTAAGTTAAACTTGAATTGCCATTATTTTTAGGAACACACTTAAAACCTGAAGTGAGCACCTACGTATTTTTCCTTTCAAAACAAACCAATTGTTCCCACAGGTGACAGCTTTATGTCTGTTTTTTTTCTAGTCTAAAAATGGCATCAATACACATCAGTAAGCAGTAATGTTTCCAGATAAAAGACCACCACAGCCACCAGACGTCTTGACTAGGAGTGAAGCTCCACCAAAATCCAAACACAATGCGAAAGAGCTCAGATTTCAAACACTGAGGGATGAACCCAAAAGCCCATTTTAACAAAAAACAGAAAGTGACTAAAAGCAGAAGGAAAAACAAGTCTGGCCTCTTCTCTGTTGCCACAACAACTCAAAATCTGCCCGCGTCTGTCCAAATGTGACTAATGACACAGTCTCCATGTCAGGCTTAACATTTAGTAACAATATTTTCCTGACAAAGCTGCCCTGTCCCTTAAAAGCTCAAGTGTCTGAAAGAATGCAGACATACTATTTGCACATAAGAACATGATATATTTACTCTGTGTCTTCTTCAGTAGTAGATTAAACACACTTGCCATAAATAGAAACTGTGACTCATTTTTAGAAGACAATAGTGGAGCAACATCCTTACACATAGCCCCTCCTCTGGAGCCTAAAATAAGTGTAGGCACAAGAGAGTAGGAAGCAGATTAAATGTGACTAGAAGAATTGTTTTGTGTGTTTTGAGTAACAAAGGAGGAAGAGGAAGGATAAGTGGAACAAAGGCCACTGACAGAGATAATGTGTGCAACAATATAACCATATGTTTGTAGTCCTGATTTGCCCTTACACAAGTGAGAGGCAAACTAAAGTGACAGCTCTATATGGACAGTGACAAACAGTCATCAACAGTAATCAACTAACAGCGAGGAGTGCAAGGTACTAGATGAACATGTTTCGCTTTGACTTTAGATTGACCACATCCTGTCAGAAATAAGCAACTACTGTATCAAGGCATGAAAAGACACGATTTCACTCTGAGCTGAACAGAATCAGTGTGCTGCAGCAACATCTAGTGGGAAAATTGCATAGGCACACCCGCACAGTGCACTTAGCAAAGACAAAACACATTGCTGAAAAGGATTGCAACAAACATCATCAATTTAAATACCTAATTAACAATATATAAACACCAATAAAAACCAACCTTTTACCTAATATGACATCAGCTGATTTGGAGCTTTAGTTGTGCATATTCTCAAGTAACTTTTCCAAGAAATTGACACTATTTGACCCCAAGGATTGTTTTGGGGGGCCTCATCACATACATTTAGCTGATAATCCAGGTTTATTTGCCATTGACTTCCCTTTAATTTAGCACCTTTTATAATGTACAACTATTATCGCCTATTAACTGAGAATCTTAGCACACTCATTACAAGAGACTCTAAAATCTAAAAGATTTTGAAGTCAATATCGTTTTTCCATGATCAGTATTATGTACTAAAATCAAGTTAATTAGCATTCACCTAATGGTGTGTAAACCAGAGAAAGTTATTCTGCGGAAAATAATTTCCTGGACTATCTGTTGTCCACTGCACTCTAAATGAATACATACAGAACAGTGCGTTTGTGAGAAGTGAGAGAAAATTGAGCTTTGTATGCTATCTCCATAGTAAAACACGTTGACGTAAAGACCATAGTTTAGAGCAAGTTGATACGGTCATTTGAACATAAAAAGGATAAAAGTCGAAATAAATGTACTAAATAAACTAGTTTGCTGATAAACTATGAACATTGTTTCGTCGATGGGTGGCAGTACGTTTCCCGAGGATGTGTCAGATTTATAAGAAGTCCGCCAAGCCCGAACAAGAAGCACTTCCGTTGTGACGTAATATTTGAGCCATAGCAAATGGCGGTTGAAAAGGGTGGACAGTAAACACGTTTATAACTGTAACTGTTTAAATATCATCAAAACATGTACTCGAGTGTGTCGGATTTACAGAGCAGTTACAACATGTTTATTTTCAACTTTCAGGTGGGTTCATTTGTCGTGCTGACTGGAAATGCACTGCCAAAGACACGAAAACGACGCAAACGGTAAGAAAAGTTACACTTTATGGCAGGGCTAACTTTAGCTACAGCGTTCGGTTGGCACAGTAACGCTCAGCGGCAGAGGTGGGAGAAGTACTGTGATCTTGTAATTAAGCAAAAGTATGTACTTAGTTACTTTACACCACTGGGCCAAATTAAGGTCAGCGGTCTGTTAATATGTGTGCCTAATTAGGGCTGGTGCTGTGTAGAACAATTAATAGGCAGTGTATAATAAAGTATTTCAATTATTCTGAGTACAAGTACCAATACCACGCTATAAAGAAAGCATAAAGTGGTACAAAATCAAAATACTCAGGTAAAGCAAAAGTACCTCAAATGTGTACTTAAGTACAGTACTTGAGTAAATGTACTTAGTTACTTCCCACCACTGTTAGTAGCCTATGTAATATATATTAGTATGCATAACGCCAACGTTCGCTGAGTTAGCTTTAGTTCCCGCTCTGAAGCAGTTCATGTATACATTCTAAAGCTGAATCTCAATGTCTACAGTTGATATAATGGAGAACGAAGATGGAGAAAATGAAACTGAGTCTGAAGGGACGGAACTCCGTCTGAAAGTCGAGTCGTTGAAGCAGGAGCTCCACGAGTGCAGAGCCGAGCTGGCAAAGCTACAGAAACAACTGAAGCAGTCAGAAAGACTCCAGCAGAACACAGAGAGCTACAACGAAGACCTGAGAAAACAGGTCAGTGCATACTAAAGAAATCACCATTAATGATAACAACACAAACGGTAAACATCTCTGCAAAAACACTGAGTTTAATCAGTCTAAATAATCATATTCCCATTATCATGTTATAACAGCAAGCATTTTAAGAGCGTATGCCATTTTGAATTGATCTGTTTCAGGTCGACCAGCTGAGCGCAGAGATTCATCAGCGAAAGAAGAAAGATAAAGACAGAGTTGACAGTGAAACTCAAACGGAAGAATATGTATGGACAGAAACTGGTGTGTTGATTTTGTATTTACATTACATACATTAATTTATCGTTTGTATTTTTGTCCGAAAGTGAGGAAATAGTTACTAAGGGTTCAATATTCCTTTGTAGATTATTACAACTACTACTATGGAGGCAACACTCAGAACCCAGAGGCTTCAGACAGTCAGGAAGGCCTGAATGCAGCAGCAGTAGAAGCAGCAGATGGCAGCAACACAGCAGGGGTTTCAGCACCAAATGAAACAACAACAACAGCTGCAGCAGCTGATGTTGATAACCCCACGCCTGATAACGGTGTTGAAGTCACAACTGAGGTTTGTTTATTATAAAGATACTTGAATTAAAAAGTAACTGCACATGTTTCTTTTAACATCATGTCATGAAATCGACGTTAGAATGCTATTGATAGTTTCACATATCGATTAAGTGAATCCTCACTAAACCCATATACTGAAGTAAGGAGATGTTGATATATATGGATAAGTGCAATTGGAGTTATGACTAATTATTGGCATTGTCTCATTCAGGAAGGTGATGGAGGATCCATAGCTGATATTTTGAGGGCCACTGCTGAAGAGGCTATGACGCAGACCGGCTTTGTTTTTGATGAGACGCATGGGTTGTACTATGACCACAGCACAGGCTTCTACTACGACTCGGTATGTCAAAAAACACCCTTTTCAGTACAATAAGGCTTAATATAGCAGAATATGTTAAGCAGCATATTTTTTTCGTCCCAGTCATCTGATTTTTAAACACAGTTCTCGTCCTCAGGGCAGTCAGCTGTACTATGATGCCAACACAGGCATTTACTACTACCATGATACAGAGAGTGGACGATACCAATTTCATTCCAAGATTGAGGTGCCTGCTGCACAGACTGCTGCAGAGCCTTGCAAAGAAAAGAGCACAGGTGAATGGAAGGGCAGAAAGTCAAAGAAAGGGTCCAAGAAAAGCTCCCACCAGGACAATAAGGTATGTTACATCCGTGGATCTCTGACTGATGCATTACAGAGATACATTTTATGCTTGGTGGCTGACAGTGGGCTGATGACTTTGTAGTTCCCCTTTTTAAAGACTTAAATTAGTCATCATTGTATTGGTCTCAGTCTTCCAATGCTTGTTTTTCTTGAAATATGTAAGATTAGTTGACTAAAAAGATTGTCCTCTGACCTAGGTGCAAGAGGTGACTTGCTCATTGGCTAAAATGAAGATTTCTTCTTACTGGGATTCTGCTTCCCGCAAAGGTACACCTTTCCTTCCAGCACGCAAAGCAATACAGAAGATTAGATCAATACTTTTTCACCTAGACTCTTAATTCAATAGTTTTGCCATCACAGTGGGGTGAATTCATACTGATAAAGCACTCCTAGAGTTCAATGAAGGTGGTGTTATTCGCACAAGCAGCACCTTAACATTTGTAGGTCTATATCAAGCTTTAAAGTAAGGGATTACATTTTTCACACAATAAATGTTAGGATGGCAAAGTAGTCAATTATAGCCCAAGTGGAGGATAGTTGTAATTGTATTCATAAAGCATTCCTTTCATCTTGTAAGATGACAAAAAAGGCTTTTGTGTACTTTAAGAATCTGTTTAAATGCCCTTTAGTTACTCTGTACAGCGGCATAAACCACAAATGATTCAAAGTTTTAGCTTTGCTTATGAATCTGGGAGCAGAGTAGGATTAAGATCATTGTAGATTTCCTGGTGTCATTTTAGAGGTCTATAGGTAATTGCCTTTGAAGACTGAAACTATGTACAAACACGGTGTCAGACATGAAACATGGGATCTACAAAGCCAGCTTGCCCCCTGTCAGTGAACATCACTGAAGATAGTAAACTCACTGTTGACTGTCTGATGGCAGGAACTCAAATTTGACGAGGTGAAGTTGGAAGAAGAAGAAATTGACTGGGTCGAAAGGCCAACAACCAAGAGGAGCACAGAATCACGAAAACTGAAGCGAAAGTCTTGCAGTCCGGACACGGCCTCGCGTAGAAAAGACTCTCATAAACACAGAGCGGATAGCGACAAATCTTCGTCAAAGAGGAAGAAGCAGAAAAAAAGTTCCCACGATGATGATAAGGATAAGGGTCGATCAAAGAAGAAAAGTAAGAAATCAAAGACAAAAAAGAAGAAAAAGAAGAAAAGCCCGGCTCGGAGCGATGATTCAGATGATAACAGCGAACCAGAAGAGGGTGAGCTCACTGAGTCGGAGAGAGAAGAGTGGGACTCCACTCCCTCGGCCTCTTCTTCCAGCTCCAGCTCCAAGGAAAGCTCCGAGGCAGAAATGGAGACTCAGATTAATGCAGGTGAGAGGACGAAGCAGCTAAATTCACAGCCGGGCCCGCATCCAAAAAACATTGTACTTGGGTGAAGTAGTTTAATCTGGCTGTAATTGAGATGTCATCGTTACTATCACTAGCTTTTTGAGGCTGACACGTTCCCTTTTTTTTTGTTTACAGCCAAAGAGATATGGCCGCCCTGTGTCAGAGTGACAGTGGTCAGATCTCCAGTGATGCAGGTCGGCACTCTGTTCATCATCACGGCCACCTCTCCAGCCACCATTGGCAGGTTTGTGCTATTTCTCTCTTGTGCATGTTATTATACAATGGGTTTACAAAGGTAAACAGGGAGGCTGCTAACAAAGAGAATGACATGGCTTTAAGAAATAACCCCCCTGTGAAAAGTGTTGACTCACTTAGTGAAAATATGAATATTGATCTCTGGGTAAGTTAAAAAGAAAACAACCTGCTGTCTCTCCTGTTGCAGAGAGAAAAGCATGGACCATGCAATCCTATTATCAGAATTGGGAGTGAGCAAGGTAACTTTTTGCTCTTATAAATTGTCCACGGATCTTCCTAATTTATTTGCATTTGTGATGTTTCTCACTGAACTGTGTTTGGGTCCAGTTTCACGCAGAGGTGTACTTCGACCAGGAGCAGCAAGGCTACATGCTGGTGGACCAGGGCAGCCAGAATGGAACAGTCATCAATGGCAACCGGATCTTGCAGGTCAACATTTGATCTCAGTTTGTAGCCTTTAAAAAAAAAAAAAAAAAGCCCTTAAACTCAGTAATGACACTATCAATGGATCTTCATACTACAGCCCAAAACCAAGTGTGAGCCACAAGCACTGATGCACGGCGACGAGGTGAAGATGGGAGAGACTGTGCTGTCCTTTCACATCCACCCGGGGACTGACACCTGTGATGGCTGCGAGCCTGGCCAGGTGATGGCCCACATCAACAAGTACAAGAGAGAGGAGAATACAGGTGAGCCACCTCATGAGAAATTAGTTTTAAGTCCAAGTGTGACAGCCAAGGCTTCAGACATTTCGTTTTTCTGTTGTCGGTCGGTCACATTCTCTTGGTCACGATTGAGGGGATTCATAAAATGTGGCAATGGTGAACTGATTAGAATTTGGCAGTAAAAGGTCACTGAACTAATTAGCGATTCTCTGTATATTTCCAAAGCCCCTGCGGCTCCCACCAAAGAGGACAAAGAAGCACTGAGACAGAAGGAGCTGAAACAGATGAAGGCCAGATATGGCTTGCAGGTGAGTTTCATCAGGACTAGCATCCTCAAGTTTAAGCTTTAAACGTCTTGTTTCTTCATGCAGCCAATCACCTCTGTGCTTTTCTGTAAACAGAGCAGTGAGTATGAGGAGGCCAAAGCCCTGAGGAACCCCAGGTACCAGGACCGAGCGGAGTCTCGGCGACAGACTGTCGGTAGTGAGGGTGTTTTCCAACGAGACGATGCACCTGCTTCTGTTCATCAGTAAGTACATTGCCCTTGACTATATTGGTAACGAAAGATAATATAGGATGATGTGCTAATCAAGTATTACTCGTTTCTTATAGGGAGATCAGTGAAGTCAATAAAGGACGGAAAATGCTGGAAAAGATGGGCTGGAAGAAAGGAGAGGGGCTGGGTAAAGAGGGGACTGGCATGAAAACCCCGGTAAGTCGAGTTCTACTGATGCCTTTGTTGGCAGGTTGACTGAAAATGTATTGTAAGTCAACAAAACAACTTAATTATTGTTCTTTTTCCTTCCTTTCTGCACAGATTCAACTGAAAATCAGGAAGTCCCAGTCCGGTTTGGGGGCTGGTGCGGCCTTGTCTCTAGACGCCGCCTCTGTGACCAAATCAAAGTCCCAGAAGAACTGGGAGAAAGCGCGTGAAAGATTTGCCGATACGTGCCAGCCTGATGTGCCGTCACCTCAAACACCAAAGAACAAAGCCTGGGTGAAAGGAGAAGAGACGGCTGACACAGAAGCAGGGGTTGAAACAGAGGGCCAAAGTTTAGAATAGCTAGACACAGCTGGACGTTTGACGTGTATCACTGTACTGCCCGAGGAAACGTGTCTTTACATTAGAAAGCAATAACACTATTTCCACATTGAAACAATTTTGTTATTTTACAGTCGTCGGGAACAGTCGCTGAAGACCCTAGCAACCAATCTGAGCTGGTTTACTCAGTTGTGAAGAACTACATCTGTCAACGCTACCTGTCAACCAGTTTGTAAAGTCACAATCTGTTTGTATAATGTGTTGGTTCCTCCTTCTGTAGAAGTGAGTTGTGTGGAATGTTACAGTCCAAACACTGAGGAACTCAGTGAGCGTGTTTCAAGGTCCAGTGTGCCTGTAGCGCTGCCTCCCAGAATAAAGGCAACATGAATCGCCTCGAGCTAATATTGACACGTTGGAGCTATATTTCTCACAATGAGATTATGGTATGATGACACAAATCTCTCACAAATCTGTTGGAGACGATCCTAAAACACTAATCATGTTAAACCAGTCTCAACTACTGGTGTGTTGTACATAAAATAAGAACATGCTCAACCACTGTTTATGATCATGTTATTTTACTTGGCATTTTGCATGGCATGGCATGGACATACTTTTGTGAGGCCAGTAAGCAAACAATTTTAACAGTCTGTATGCAGTCTTATCTGGGAGCTCATGGGGGTGTGTGAATATTTGCATGTGTGTGCAAGTTGCGAGCTTGAACAGAGGCCACTCTAAAATTAAAAATAATGCAAGTTTAGTTAAATCCTCAGTATTTTAGTTTAGTAAATAGTATACGTTTCACTGCTACTTCGTTACTAAAACTGCATACATATTCACAAATATGTTCAGCTGAAAGCAACACACATCTCAAGTCAATGAATGGAAGTGACAACAGTTTTTTTTCTGTTAAGTCAGCATACAACAGGTGAGGAATTTGACTCACATGACACTGCTGGTGTGACTCCTTGAGCTGGCTCGCCTGCTGCCCTTCTTCTGACTGATAGTGCCACCCATTGTAATTCCTTTGGTTGATGGATAGGCAAACTGGTGTATTCTCTTAGCTAGTGTGCACACTAGCCTGCATTCCTGAGTAGCAGCGCTTCAATGCCGTCAGCGTTCTTCTTCTCTACTGACAGGTGTGTCCTCCTGTTCCTCCGTCCTCCTGTTCCTCCCTCCTCAAATCTCCTCCCTCAACTTTACCACCAGAAAGTAAACACTCAGACGCTGATACTGCAGTCGTGTAATCAAACTGGGAGGGATCAACTTGTGTCTTCTGTGCCCGGTTCAATTGGGTAGAAAGTCTCAGCCATAAAAATATGTGGTGAGTCACGAGATAAGTGGGAATTCGTTCTTCTGTGAAGATGTTGCTTAAGGCTCTCCAGAGATCTGGCTTGACCAGTTCAGAGGAACACTGAGCCACTGTTTCTTTCAGGGAAGGCTTCTCATTATGTCATTTCTGCCTCATGTAGGGCAAAATCAGCAGATTGGAGTTATATTCATGGCCTGTTTCGTGTTAATGATGTTATATGATAACAGTAATTCAATCCCTCTTGAAGTTCAGTTCTTGTAAACACTGCAGGGTACACAGAATGGCTAATCTGTGCAACAGTGCATGTTAATATTGTAGTGAAAAGATCACTTCGCTCACAGTTGGAAAATGTGAATACTCCTGAGGCAACTTGGATTGGACTCTCACAGGCAAGTGGGAGCACGTTTTCTTTAAGCCTTACTATAGCTATAAGTAACTTACTGAAGTGACAGGCAGTGTTTTTGTAAATGTTTTTATATTCCTTACAAAGCCTCAGACTAAACAGTAATTTATAATCTATAGTAGCTTTCACACACAAAATAAATGATTGGGATTTATGGAAGCGGAAATAGGTACTTTTTGTTTTTGATACATTTTAAGAAAAATGTGTGTGAAAAAATATATTTAATTTATATATATATATCATTAATTAATTTATAAAGCAGTTTTACATAATTGTACAGTTTATAACCCTGACGCAGATGAGGAAAATGTAACTGCTGTTTTAATAACCAAGTGGAATTTTTACAGTCACTAAAACTTGGCATTGCACGATCGGACCCTCACAATGACACCTTGTTTTCCGCCCCTTCTAGCGTTTGACTGGTCAATCACATACATGCACAATCACACTTGTCACAAACACTGGTGTGTCCTGCATTTAAAAAAAGAATCAGACAAAGAAGAAGGGAGTGTCTCATCTCTGCAGATAAAAGAGGTATGTTTCTACTGAGGATAAAGGGTTTCTGGTATTTAGATGAAGCTTGTTCTCAATCTTGATAGTCACAACAGAGGCAGAAGTTATGAAGAGAAGTACTTTTCATTATCAGATTTATTTACATGCAAGATTAAATCACAAATTGTCTAAATCAAAGTAATATGTTTCTTATGCTATATTTATTTAACATTTAGTCTGTTTTAAAAATAAATGTACATCATAAAAAGGACTTAAATCATTTTTAAGTTACTGACCTTAACTAAACTTCTTTTAAATACTGTTCTTCAAATATACCCTCGGTCTATGGCCATAAAATCAACTTTAATTATTATTTGAATAATCATTTAATGTACATTTTTCCATTATTCAAGAAGAGGAGAGTTGCTCAAATGGTAATCTTTATCTTATCTTATTGGATTGTTTCACTGTGTGAATAAGCTGATTTAATTATTCACTAGACAACAAAATGTGCCATTAAATATGCTTTTTATCGTATTATTGTTCCTAAACACTGACACGATGAAGCACTGATAGTTATCATGTTTACGTAAGATAGAGTTACCACATCTAGCTTCTTTTATAAGCTACTTTTAGCAATAGGATATTTTGTGAAAATGGCCTGGTCATCTAAAGTTCAAGGAGTGTAAAAGGTTTGGGACTACAGTGTAACAGTATAATATCGAGCTCCACTCTGCCCCCCTGTGGAAGCTGGGGAGAGAACATTCATCCTCATCTGTCATGAAGTAAAGCTCTGCGTCAACAGTTTAAATTGTGTACTGTAGACTTTGTCAGAGCGACCACACAGTAACAGTAAGAGAGCGACTCCTTCATTGTCATCATTCATAGTTTTGTGCAGGATGTCATTCATTGTGATCATGGTCAAAGGCAGGGCTCACTGCACTCTGTAATTTAGGGAAACTCACCTCATAAATACAGCCCAGTGACCGTGTCCCTGTTTAAAAGACTGGAACTGCAGTTGTGTGCGTTTTAGAGCTTTCCCAGTGTGTTGTGCTGGTCAGAGCTGACTGCAGCTTGTTGCACTTCACAATGTGTTCATCTGAGCGAGTCAAACAGCTGTGTGGCAGAATTAAGTTTTTGTGTCATATTCACATAAACAGTCATGTGAGTGATCACAACAACAAAGTGAAGACAATAGCTACAGACAGATGGGAGTCCTCTCTTTGGTATGTAATGTTTCACTACAACCAGGTGGACCGCAGAAACGTGGTGCAGGGATGAGGGGATAAATGGAGAAATATAGACCTATGGTGTAATACAAAAAATGATAGATACTTCAAATGAGGGAAGGCCCAGCGTGTGTTGAACAAAATGTTGATGCCTTTACATGCTATTTGTAATGTTCAGGGAAGTTAACTATTTTTTTACCAAACATCTACACACGCAAACTGTATCACTGCATAAAAGGAAGTATGTATTTCTTCGGTGCTTTTAGAACCGCAAGCCGACGCCAATCTAAGTTCATTATATTTGAGGGTCGGACATTTCTACTGCCAACATCTCAACCACTCAGTTGCCAACACCAACACAACCTAGATATATATGTTTATATCCAAAATATGAATTTACCAACCCTAAGAATATATTTTAATATTGTTATTGTTGTTCTTAGTTTAAATGCAGGACTTTTAATTGTAACTGTGGTTTTGCTACGTTTACTTTATAAAAATATCTGAATACTTCTTCCGCTTGTTTTCAGTCTCTGTCTTTGTGTCAGACAGAAGCAGAAAATCACAACAGCCAGACTCAACATACTTTCATTTCATTTTAACCAGACAACGTGCGTCTGCCTGCGTCTGCAACTCTGTGTTATTGCAAT